CTTCACTTTCCCCTGGGTTCAGAACAGCCCAGTGACCGGGCTCCACGTTGGCTGCGCTCCATCCGTAGGTCTGGACAGCCCCACAAGGGGCATCTCCTCAGCGGTGTAGCCTGTTCAGAACTGCAGATGGTATTCAAAATGCAGATTAACAGTGAACGTATGCAGAGGCACGGCTGTGTCTTCTGTTTGTTCTGGTTCCTTTCCTAGAATTTTCGAACATTTGATACACTGCTTAAACTGCTGCTGAACATAGAGTATGTTTTCGTGGGACTGTCAGTCACAACTGCAAGATCCTACTGCTGGGTGGTAGTAGTCAGCTCAGAGCCCGTCCTTCTTTATGTAAAATTAGGGTTGCTTTTCCTCATTTATATCACATTATGTTTGTCTCTGCTGAATTTTTATCTGCAGCCTTATTGTCTGGTCGCTTGATTTAATTTTTTCTTAGGATCCTTTTGCAATTCTTTGTGGTGAGTTTTCATCTTTAGTGCCCCAAATACCTTAAGCAGACTTTCCCACCTTACTGATAACACCAGTGCTGCCACGTTTCATTTTTGTTGTAGTCCAGGCTTTTCTGGTGCTAGGCCAAAGTATCATCGGGGCTGAAACGTACCTGATGAAAGATCAGTCAAATGAGACAAAGATGGTTACACTGAGATGGAACAAGTGATGAGGAGTGTGAACACTCGTTTTCTATGTTTTTTTCACACCTTATTTGAGAGGGTTTGCATTTCTGTGTTTGTTTGGGATCCAGTGCTTTACCTGGAGTCTTCAATTGAAAGCAGACTAAGGATATTTTCTGTGTGGGGATCAGGTATAAGGACAATATAAAGGAAAATACTTCATTTTAGAGCAGAACTGCTGCCGATGGCTAGACAGGCTTTCTATGTCTTGACAATGTTGCTAGTTTCAGAAGTCATTAGTGCGTTTTCTAAACTATAACTGTATCCTCTCTTTGGGCAAAGCTTTAACCTGGGGCTTGAGGTAGATGCAGTAGCTTGTTTGGAGTAATTTGTTGAGAATCATCTGCTTCATTTTTTGTAGAAGGGGTAGCACAAGGGCATATGCTGTGAAAATGTTTGTTTTGAACAAAAGTGCTAATTGAAGCAGCAATCCGTACTTGACTATCGCAGCAGCAAGAGGAGGCTATTCTTTTGAGACTTCCAGATGTTGTATTGTAGAAGTCTAGAATCTGTATTACATTTTAAATTCTTCTTCAGAAATATGTTTTCTCCACATCCTAGCAATAGCTGTGTAACTTAATCTGCAGTGCTGCGGGATTAAGTAAGATCACCCACCTCGCTGCAAAACATTTTCAATAAATTTCTGTTTTGGTAAGAGCACATATATACATGTTACATGCCATTTTACAGGTTTATTTTAATTTTGTAAATAAAGAGAAGAGAGCACATGGGGTTTTAATGTACATAATTCTAACACGGGCTTTCCATGAAGTCTAATGATAACTGATATGATCAAGATAATTTAGGCTTTCTGTTCAGTGTTTCTTAAGAAGTAGTTGGAAACGAGTATCTACTGTCTGTGGGCAGTTGTGCCTGGTCAGATGGCCATGTACTGTACTAGTTTATGAATGCATATTAAATTAAAACAGTATTGCTAGATAGAACTCCATCAAAACAGGAGGAAGCAGATATGAAGGTTCAATATTTTGCTTGCTCTTGAGTTCATGTACACAAATAAATACAGACTAGAGTTGCTTACCATACATCACCTTGCAGAAGGACTGAATCCGTGTAAATGTAAATGCTCCTTTGTAATTTCTGGGAAGCAGGTCATTTTTGTCTTGCCACATATTCCAATCCTTTTTCTTGTATTAGATTATTTTCAGTGATATCTTAGAAATTAGATGGCCTGACCCTGCTACAGCTGATCTGACCAGATGTATAGAGAATGGTAGCGTGAAGATCTCATCAGTAGATGGTTATGCTCACCTTTACCTGTCAGAATTACAGCAAGAATTTACAGTGGAGTTCTTATGCAAAGTCAGCCAGTCATCTGCAGCATCCTTACACTCCTCTCAAAAGAATAGCAACTATCAAACCGGAGATCAGTATGGAAAATCCAGTAAAAATTCCAGTGCAGAAATGTCATTAGAACAAATAAAAATAGAAAATAAGAAGAATGAACATGGTTGTGCTGAAGGTAAATACAGAAAACCAACCAAACCAAGTGACCAGAAAGACAGAGATGGAGTCCCTGTGTTCTACACAAATTGTTCTTCTGAATACACGTGGGTTACACAGTGTTGGTCTGTTTCCTCCTACCCGGAAGAATGGAAATACCCTTTGTCATTGGCACTAATGTGCTATAACTTACGTACTGCTAAGGATGTAATGAAGACATGTGAGAAAAACAACCATACATCTACAGAAGATGACGTTTTAATAGACATGGGAACACATGAAACAGTTTCTCGTTTACCTGCAGCTTTGCCACTCAGCTGCAGAGCCCCACATTTACACAGGTAATTTAAGCTGTTAACATGTGTTTTACAATTCTGCAATTTGGAATTTTAACCTCTAGCAAAATAACTGAGTTCTAGCTATAAAAACTAAAAAAAAAAAAATACTGTTGTATTCCTTTTTTTTTTAGGAACTTCTTGAAACATGAAATTTTTGAAACCAACATTCTGCATCCTACTGAAATGAATATATAGTAATTAGCCTAGAGAAAAAAAAAAATTATTTTCTGACATACTGTATAAATATGTAAATGAAAAAGAGAATACTAAAAAAAGAACACAGGTTTTGTGTTGTTTTTTTTGTTTGTTTGGTTTTGAGAAGATAATACCTCTGAAGTGGGCCAGTGGCATACATTCTTTGTCAGGACCACTAAAAATATTAAAAAAAACCTTTGCAGGTTTGAGAAAATTAATGTGGTAACTAATGTGTATAGCTAAGGTATCAGAGGACTCTGAAAATAGGTGGCCTGTTTTCCTTTGGATAGGTGTGCATGCATCTGTTCTTGGTACAGAAATGATCACCAGCGCACCAAAAAATCTCCCTGACCTTCAGACTTACTGAAGCTTTTATTTTATTTTATACAGGTGGACTTTCTATGACTTCTTTCAGAAACAAGATAATGAGAAGTATTCATGCCCTCAGCTAATTCAGACTGTATGGTGCCAGGGTGTGTTTTATAGGTACGTAGGAGATCATGTGTTTCATCTTCAGAAGACTTCAATTGTGTGGGAGTTAAGCTTTAAGATAAAAAGTCTTACTTTGTCCCTTTCTCACTCTTTGAGAAACTGTACGCAATCTTCATGTAAGTGTCTGTTCATTTCTCCTGTTTGTTCATTGGACTTCAGATTTTTCTAGTACAGTATATTTCCAGGTCTGAAAGTGGGTGTGTCTGAAATCATGCTTAAGGCTTGTAAAGAAGTGATCTGATTATCTGATTTCTTAAAGGTTTACTGGACAGCTGGAGCTCCCACGGACTTCACTGACAATTATGGTGCTTGGTTTCTTTGCAAATTACATTGCTCCTTTTGATGCTGAAGATTTCACACTTTAAGGTGTTTGTCTTGGTGACCTACATAATTTGCATGTTGCAGGCAGCTAAACTGTGGATTTTTCTGGCAAATCACCTTGTCCATATGGTTTAAAAAGGAGGAAAAAAAAAAAGACTTTTTTAAAAATTGCCCTTCCAAATGTGATATACAGACTTTGAAAACACTACAGTTGCTACCACCATCTAAAAGTCTTTGCTAAATGATTAATTGGTCTTTAAAGCTTTAATATTTCTGCCCAGTGTTCATTTTGCTCAGTGTGATTCCTAAATTCTCATCTTACCTGAACAAAATGTTTAGCAGCTCTTCAGTACTATACCTCATTTCTTTTGGAAGTATGGTGAGTAGCCATGCTCAGTCTTACAAGCTCCATTACCAAAATCCAGGCATCTAACCACAGAGTTGCAGAATTGGCTCATTAAATGGGTTTTATGCTCCGAGATACTGTATGATCACAAGTAAAAGACTATTGATCTTCATGAAAACCACACAGCTGCACTGGAGATGAAGACCTTCAGGTTGTTCCGGAATGGTTCAGCCTGGCAGTTCTCTGTGTACACTAGGTAGGGCTGGTCCAGTAAGAAAACTGGATTTTTCTCTTCAGAATCACTATTTTCTGGTCAGTGGAATGAGCAGCTCTTGTGAGATGCTAACCTCAACACAAAAAAGCTGCCCTTAGCTTGTTTAACTCCCACCCCCCCGTGCACAAATGCAAACAAAGAGCGTGGTAATGCTGATCTTGTGTGTTAAAAGAAATAACTGGAACACTCTGCTGTTTGTGAAACAGTAGAAAGTTTTTCATGTGACAATCGTGTTGAAAATTTGTTTCTGCTCAGTGCTTTCTTCAAGTGTGCTAACCTATTTTGCTTGTCTAGTGACACATCATTTTGAATACTTGTTAAAAATCTTGTTATTTCTCTTAGATTTATCCATGGTAGGACAAACATCGCAGAAATTTATCCTGGTGATGACTCATTTTGAAGTCAGAGGGAGCATTTTTGGGAAACTATTTTGTACATTATACGATCCAAAAAGGAACAAAAAAGGTATAAAACTATTTTAAAATATGTTCCAAATTCCTTCAAGTTAGCAGCTTTCTTAGTCTTAAGACATTTGGCTATGCAGTCTATAGTGAAGTCCCTGCATTGGTAATTACTATAATGACTGAATCAAGCAATCAATCATACAAAAAATGAGATTATTCCTTCTGTTTCAGAATGTATTTTTGTAAATTATAGACATAATAAGAAAAATCTTATTCATTGTAACATTTATTTCAGAAGCTGAAGTATGTACTGCAGTAAGGTTCTACAATAACCATTTCTCACTAATTTAGAAGAAAAGTTTAGTATATTGATTACAGTTTAATTGTTACGTACCTGGAAGTGTTTTCTTTTTTACTATATGGAGACAGAACATAGAAGATACAGATTCTGTTCTGGCTTTGCCACAGACCATCTGTTCAGTGCTGGAGAAGTGGTTTTGCCTCTCTGTGTCTGCTGAATGTTAAGTTTCAGCAGAGCAGAGATCCTCTCAAGTGCTTATGCAGTGTTTTCTATTTTTAAAGCAGAATTAGGGGTCAATTTGTACCCTTCAAACCTAGCCTTTAACTTGTAGTCAAAATAGTTACTCAGTAATGAACTGCAATCTACACTCTGATAAGAGAACTTTTTGGGTCCACACTGAGTGCATGGAAACTGTGACTGTTTCTTCCCACAGAAGCAGGCTTAAAGGATACAACATCATTTTTTCACTTTTCAAGGAGTGTTCTGGGAAAAATTTAAATGTGATTATAGTTGCTTTCTGGGAGGTCACAAATTTCATATCCTGCGAGCTCTTAATACTGTTTTCATGCTACAGTACCAGTAACTACCTCATCTCCTTTCTCCTCTTTATTGCAGAGAGAAGAAAAGATGTATTCGGTAAACAGCCTGCCTCCCGATGTACCAGGAAATCCATACTCTATATCCTCCATCGTTACTCAGGCAACCAAGTAACTTTACTCTACTTTATCTTTGTTACATTAATTCCTCTGACTTTGAAAGGACAGTAAAGTTACACATAATACTTATTATGATATTAAGTATAAAAATTAACAGAATTTGTATTAGCACTGAGGATATCTGTAAACTTACAGAACAAAGGTCGCAACTATTTAGAAGACAAAGTATGAAATGCTTAATGTTTTGTTTGTTTTTTTCTCCTCAGAATACTTCAGTACTGCTACAAGACTAAACTCTCATTAACTCATAACTATTCTCTCTGCTGCTGGGAAATGGTATGTAGCTGAAGATTTGTAAGTCTTTGTGTTGTAAGGATGATCATACAGGCTACAGGGAATAGGACCTAATCTAGAGGGAGGAGTGGTGAGTGTATCCTTAAAGATCAGAAGGTATATATTTGGAAACCAAAAGTATGCAGTGTAAAGGTGTATTTGTGAAGCAGAAAGCAACTGCATGATGAAGAGTTGGTTGTGGTCTGGAGGAACAAGAGAATTGAAAATCTGGGAGAGATACAAACAGCTGTAACGATGTAAGTAATCTTTCCTCAAGTTTTTAATATATTTGTCTGGTTCTAGGTACCCGAGACAGATGGACGAGAAATGTTGCCAGTTTTGCTGTATGAAAAGGTTATTCCCAGCATAGGAAGGCTCCTTGTGTACTCAGATTATAAAGTCCACGTGGCTTTTTGGGATGGGATGACCTTGAATATGGTCTGGGATTTCAGCTCTTCATGTAGTAAGATCCAGGTAACTCATGAGTTAGAGGAATGACTATTCTTAAAACTCTTCATGAAAAAGCATTACTAGGAAACAAAACAGAAGTTTTGATGCCTACAAAATATAAACTGAAGTCTTTTGAGAGATTTGTAAGTCACAGCAGTTTGCTGCTGTGGCTTACTCTTGAGCTTGTGTAGTAGTCTAAATGAAAATAGGAACTATCCACAAACACCACCGTTAATGTATTGCCAGTATTTTAACCAGAAACAAGAAGGAAAAATATTTCAGTGCATAACTGTTGCCTAAAGAGGCAACAGTTTTAAGTGAAGAAGTGCACATTGATCAAAGAAAGGAGTATTTGTTTTTTATTTCGGATTATCCCTAACTGAGCAAATGGATAGTGAAAAATTACTCAGAAAAGTAACCTTGTGCATATGGTATTCCATATACATTTTTAAATCTACTAATATATAAGTAAAAATATTATGTCGATTATGTTGATTTTTGTGAAATGGCATTACAGAGAAAATTACGTGAGTGTGAGATTCAAGGTTGACTGCTGAGACTTTCGGCTTCTGCATCTTTGCTTATTACAATAAGGTGACAAGACACAAAAAAGACATTAAAGTGTCTGAGGATATCTCTGTTATAAACAATATAAATATGATAGGCAGTGTGCCAAAAAATACAGTGAGCTAGGTCGAATCTGTATACTCACTCAGAATAAAAGGAGGAAGAATTGTAAATTCTACAGGTTTGGAAACACTTCTACACACTTTTAGAAATAATTTATTCTTGAATAGTACAAAACAAGCGTTGGGCTGGTGCCAGGTGTTTTGTTGTTTTTTTTTCCCCTGCATTTGTCATAGCAGACTATACCAAATTCTATCCTTAGCAAAAGAGAAAATTCTAAGTCTTTAAAGTGGAATGTTCATAGATATTTAATTCTTAAATTGCTATATTATACTTGGATTTTTTTCTTCAGACTGCAGCAGAAAATTAATACTTGTAATTTTTTTCTCTTCTAAGATAAATGAAGATGTAGGCTGGTGTAAGTTAACTCATCCTGATGGGGTACAGCAGCTAATTCAAATAAGTCACCCTGGAATCTATGAAAGGTATAAGTAATTTAAACAATTTAAACTTAAATATAAAAGAATTCTGTACAAATTCTTTTATAGGAAGAAACGGTATTTACTGAAAATATATGGGGGGGGGAGGGAGGGGGGGAACAAACATGTAATGATAAAAGCTCCATCTTATATCTGGCAAAGATTCAGGATCTGTGTGACTTGGGACCACTGCATGCTGTCATTCCATTATAATTGTTACAGTAATGTCTTTTTAAAAACATAACTGGAGCTGCAACTTGGCACTTACATCAGTGGGTAAGAAAAAAAAAAAATCTTCATCCTCTATAGAGCGGGTACATAGAACCGGATAGCACTTTATCCAATTTTTGCTTTATTACAGCTATTGACCTTTGCCTGTAGATTGCTTTCTCCAATCTGCTTGCTCTAATTACAGCCTCATTATGGGAATCATCAGAAGCTTACTGAGTTGCATTTTAGCAAGCAGATATTCACAAACAGAAATTAACATTTGTGCACTATTCATTACAAATCATACAGCTTTGTTATAATTTTCTATAACTGCATAGATTTAAATATGAAGGAGATTCTAGACAAGAAGTGGGATTAAAATATGGCAAGGAAACCTAGAGAAAAAACTAGATTTTGAATCACGGCTCTTTCTTTCAGATCCAGGTGTATTGCGTAATGCCTTCAGTTCTTTGCTTGAATTAGTGGATTGTATTTCTCATGTAAATAACTGCCTTTTTCTGAATTTTCATGTTAACATAGGTACATCAAAACAGCAATAGAATGGTGCCAAAGTTTGAATGAAAGGAAGGAGATTCCTGAATATACTGCACACTCTGTAACTGAAGAAAATTGGTATCCATCTTTATCCTAAATAAGTGACTATAAATAATGTTGAAAATAAAACCCAAAAAGACTATAAACTCTGAATTTTATAGGCTGCATTTCCTAAGGGTCAAAAATGAAAACTGTAAGTCCATTTATTTTGTGTGGTTTCGTATTTTTCTTTCAGTGTTTAAAATGTTAGGTAAGTTGAGTTCTAGGTGAACCTTGTTTCATTGTGCTTCTGCCTGCCTTAAAAATCAGAATTACGGTGACTTTGCCAAAGGAGGATTGATTTTACAGAGTTAGTATCTTGCAATGTGAAAAAGAGAAAATAGACTAAGAAAGGCATCTTTTAACAGAACACTGAGCAGTTCAAAATAGTCCTTTGAACACTTGACGCTTGTGTCTCTTGCATATATATTTGTCCTTTTTAATACGTGCTAGTGACCAAAGGTCTACTGACCTCATATACAAATATATTTGAGTATTAAAAATGTGTTAATTGAAGTCTATTACACTTGCACTTGTTATTGTAATTATAGCAGATTCAGTAGCTGATGAAATGAAAATTATGTCTATATTTATACATATAGACAGCAATGAGGCTATTCTTAGAGCAGAGCCTTGATTTTTGGAAACACAAATGATTGACATGCAGCCATTGACTAGTGGTATGAAAGACAAAAATAAAGCATTTTTTTCACTTGGATTTTGCTCGCCTAATTTTCAGTATTGCTGGAAACTATTAAAAATTAAAATCTGAAGTTGAAAATACATTTGAGAACCCTGTATGATACTAAATTGTTTAATAATCTTTATTTTCTTGTACAGGTCTGCTGATGCTGAGCTTGAAAAAATACAGAGATTTACCTGTATCCTTTTGAAAGCTGTAAAGATTCTTCATGTCTATAGTCTCTTGTTCATCTACATATTCAAATCTGCATTTTAGGTCATCAAATGTTGTCTATCCTGTTCTTACCTTCTTTTACTGTCTTACCCACTTCTTAAAATTACCTTTTTAAGCCATTTTTTTGTTTTCTTAATTATCATTTCTGTTTTATCATTTATCTTGTCCAACTCCCGTCTCACAGCACCCGAAACAATAGTAGCACGCGTGCAAAACTAAAATAAAAGATCACCAAAAAAGGAAGCCCTTGAATGGATATTGCTTTAGTTTTGCTAATGCTCATCTGCTGATCTGCAGTTGCCTTGGGGCTTGTTGTTGCACTACAATACCTTTCTATTTATCAGCTACCTCAGTGTTGTTTCATTGCGTTCAGATGGCTCAGAAAATTGTGCTGTGCTGCATGTGCTTGAAGCCACTCTGTAACTGTCTTTAAGCCAGTGTTCAATTTTATTAATATGAAACATGCATGCTGGTAAACTGTGCGGTGTGACATCAGATAGTTTCCTTTTTAAAGTAACTTTTGGGTAAATTGAAGTCTTAGAGACATTTTCTATAAATGTTGTAGACATTTTAAGTGATATACTCTTTTATTCTTTAGCTTTGTGTAGTTGCCATGCTGTGAAATGCAAGACTTTGCAATGCAGCATGATGAATACAAATACGGAGAAGTACTTTTCTCATTAGGAGGAAGATTTTGATTTTTTTTTTCTTAACAAAATAACACTAGTTTTATTGGATAATAGCAATGTTCTGGAAAGGACATCTGCTGCAAAAACCAATCCATCTGATACTGCTGTCAGAAAAGCAGGACAGGGGAGTGAGCCGGCTGACATCGGCGAAGGGTGCGTCCTGGAGGCTTTGGAAAAAACTTCTAAAGTAATTCAGGATATCGATTCCCTGCTTGCTGCTGCCGGGAGGTGAAAGACGTGAGGAGCCGTGTTCCACATCGCCACAGGAGCTGTCCCGGCCGTGCCTGAGGAGGCTGTGTGCTGCAAGGGGAATGACGGGCCGAATCCTGTCAGGTGCCATGATGGCACTGCAGTTGCTTATTGTGGAGAGGCAAAAAGAACAGGTGAAGTGATAGAGCACAGCTGTATGAATGCATCGGGGCTGACCTGACAGCACCGCTTTTAAATGTTAGGAATGTCTTGTTTGGATCGTTTTAATTTTATAAAGGACCGTGCAAGCAACTCAAGTGAGTAGGGTAGGGGTAAGCGGTTTTAAGTGTAAAAATGTGCTTTTGTTCCGAGGCTTACACCAAGCACTCCAATATTGAATAAAAAGTTTCTCAAACGCTTTCTATTCTGCTGTTTTGTGGTAAATAAAGACTTCGTTAAAGCGTCTTCAGCCCTTTCTGGTGTGTGGTCTGTCGCTCGGTGGTGAACCGTATCTTTAGTGATAAAATACGAGCCTTTTACCGTTGGTTTCGCTTCCCGCGCTTTACTTCATCCTGTCCTGAATACCCGAACCCTGTTTTTACTATTTCTAGAAAAAAATTTCCCTCAGAACCCAGCGCCGTTCCCCCTCGCCTCCCTAAAGCGTCTTCAGCCCTTTCTGGTGTGTGGTCTGTCGCTCGGTGGTGAACCGTATCTTTAGTGATAAAATACGAGCCTTTTACCGTTGGTTTCGCTTCCCGCGCTTTACTTCATCCTGTCCTGAATACCCGAACCCTGTTTTTACTATTTCTAGAAAAAAATTTCCCTCAGAACCCAGCGCCGTTCCCCCTCGCCTCCCCCACCTCCCCGGGGCCGAAGAGAGGGGCGGCTCCCTCCACCGCGGC